CACTTTATTCCGGTTGACATTTTCAGTATCAAAGGTGCTCTTGTCCATTCCGTGAAACACTGAGAAATAAGGACATTAATGCGTTACCAACAGACATACACACAACAATCCAAAAAAGGCCACGAACTATTGATACATAAACAATATAAAGGCGTAAACAATTCATGATGGTTTGCCCAACAAATGTTTTACTCAAATAGGTTATCATTTTCTTAGCATACCGGGTAAGCTAAGATTTGGAATCCAGACAGAAAAAGCAAAACTTATACAGAGTTAAGACATCACTTAAATTGAATACGGACGGCTCTAATAAATAAGGTGCAACACCAACGATAACTAATTTGTAAACTACAGTGATGTGTTGGTACCAACGTAAAAATGATTCTAGCAGCTACCAACGGTTCTAAGGAAAAGAACCAGTACCTACGTAAGAACCTACCTAAGAACTATAGTACATCCGACCAATTAAATACATTAATATCTAGTCCCGAGGTTATTGATCTCTTGCTTTTGGATTTTCTCGTAAAAAGTTATAGCGTAAACTTATCGGTGTCAGTTTGAAAAAAAAACAACCTTACCCAAACAACTTTTTGTTATTTAATAGATTACGCATTCTCTAAACAATGATTAGTATATCTATTAACATTAGAAGGAAATGTGACGAAAATCACACAATGTTGGGGTTTTGGTCATTTGTAATTATATTTCTTAAGTAGGTAGGCCATGTATTCTATGGAAAAGTACCTTTATCAAGGATCGTCGTCAAAAATGTTGTTATGAATAAATATGTAGGCTTACGTACCCAAGATATGAGCTATGGGCCTATTGGCTGTATGGTCCAGCGATTGCATCACACGGTGAGTAGAAACAGAAAGTGACACATTGGAAAAGCGAGTTTAGCACTTCCTCTGTTAAACCTCTGTTACAATCACCCACTGCAGTTGTGATTTTTTACTTTACACTTTACACAACCGCCATTGAAGCGCCGTCAATGAGTGGAAACCTTTTTTGTAAGCTATTGGCGACGATCATTTCAGTGTCCCAGCCCTATACAACACTGATTCAAGGTCTTCTTTCTGGTTGTCAAAACTCAAGAAACATTTTATACTCAAAGAATTTCTGGTTCCGATTTGGACGATGTCTAGTTATTTAATTTCATTTACGGTTACACTATTAGACTATATTATTGCACTTGCGATTAATTAAATCCGTTATGTAAGAAAAACGTTTTTAATCTCACTTGGTGGGGATTTGCTTTCAAAACGTGATTCGAAATGGTTGCGGTATTTGTAAACAACATTTGTAAACATATCATTGACAGCTAGAAAAAATAATCTTGATCCGAACAGCTGTTCGTTATTTCATAGACGATTATGTGATAAAAATTGAACGAAAATTTGACAAAAATCGCACAAAACTGCATTTTTGAACGTCCGTAATTTTATTTACAAAGTAGTGAGGCTATATTTAAATCACTAAAGTAAAGACACTCTCGCCAATCCAGTGAATACATTAAAATGACTTGGATCTTGATAGGTACTCTGGTTTTCACGGAGAAGATTGCGTAAAATGCCATCTTGAGTGTTACAGACAAAGGGAAAGACAGACAGACAGAAATAGAGATAAGACTCGTTTCTGCTTCTTTAATGTATAAAACGTAAAAATAACCTAAAAGTATATAATTCTGAGCAAAGTACAGACAAAACTCTAATTTTATTTATATAGATAAAAACTTAAAGGATCACCTAAAGGACTTCCGGTTGTCCGTCACAATTTTATTTGTTCAATTGGCGTACTTTTGGTTGGTTTCAATAACGTTAATTATATTTACCTGAGAAAATGCAGAGTTAAAGACCTGATGTTGTTCAGTTGGTTTTTGTTTCCCTTAGCTATATATGAATAATAATTAAATGGCCTCAATAAAAATGTTAGTAAGGGTTTCTTGGATATTTTCATAGGCTATTATTTTAAAATCCCTTGACTTTTATGGAAACATGGATTAATGTCATTGACGTACCAGATTTATTTAGCCTTAGGGCTTTCCTCTTCAATGATCACAAAGCTAAGTCCATGTTGCCTACTATAAATTGTAGCACTTCGGCTAACATCCTCGTTCATCGTTTGTAGGAATCTGAATCTTGTAGGTGTTCTTCATTATATTGGCTAATAACGATTATAAATTCTTTAAAAAATATTATCTCTATTTCTTCTACTCGGTGGCGTTCTATGACTTTTTATGTTTCCATAATTTGCAAATGCGTTCTTTCAATGATTAAATTTTTGTAGGACGCATTTATTTGAATTACAGCTTAAATATTAACAGCAATTAAATATCCAGCCAATCATAATGTAAACAAATATGTTCTTCTTAAAAATAACATGGGAACTTTAAAAGCCACTGGGGCAGAGCCCAAGGGACTTTTTCAAAAAATGTAAGGTCAGTTTGCAAATCTACGCGACACGCTCTTTCCAATGAGACGTCAATGCTTAAAATCGGTTAAGAAATGGCGAAGGAGTTCAACCGACAAATTTTGTGTTGGCGTATTCATTATATAGACTAGCTGTGTGCCCGTTCTACGCACGGGGATCTTATAGTAGTCAGTTGAAACCTTCTTATATTAAGATTAAGAACAGCAATTAGTTTGTATATTTGCAGATATGCTGGCAAAACTATTATATATAAACCTTCGCAAATAGATTATCTGACAGTTCAAGCCAAAATAAATGCTTCGCAATTAAATGTCACCCGGATCGTGTTGGTCCATATGTCCAATGATTAAACTAAAAAATGTTTTATAGATCCATAAAGCGTAGCCCTAAAGTAGGCCTATAATTGAAAGTTACTTTCCACATCGGTTAACTTAAACGTATTTAAAGTACTACCTCAACCTCACCATTTAACACTTTATTCCGGTTGACATTTTCAGTATCAAAGGTGCTCTTGTCCATTCCATGAAACACTGAGAAATAAGGACATTAATGCGTTACCAACATACAACAAAGCAACACAATACAACAAGGGCCACGAACTATTGATACATAAACAATATAAAGGCGTAAACAATTCATGATGGTTTGCCCAACAAATGTTTTACTCAAATAGGTTATCATTTTCTTAGCATACCGGGTAAGCTAAGATTTGGAATCCAGACAGAAAAAGCAAAACTTATACAGAGTTAAGACATCACTTAAATTGAATACGGACGGCTCTAATAAATAAGGTGCAACACCAACGATATCAAATTTGTAAACTACCAGTACCTACGTAAGAACCTACCTAAGAACTATAGTAAATCGGACCAATTAAATACATCAATATCTAGTCCCGAGGTTATTGAGCTCTTGCTTTTGGATTTTCTCGTAAAAAGTTATAGCGTAAACTTATCGGTGTCAGTTTGAAAAAAAAGCAACCTTACCCAAACAACTTTTTGTTATTTAATAGATTACGCATTCTCTAAACAATGATTAGTATATCTATTAACATTAGAAGGAAATGTGACGAAAATCACACAATGTTGGGGTTTTGGTCATTTGCAATTTTATTTTTTAAGTAAATAGGCCATGTATTCTATGGAAAAGTACCGGTATCAAGGATCGTCATCAAAAAGGTTGTTATGAATAAATATGTAGGCTTACGTACCCAAGATATGAGCTATGGGCCTATTGGCTGTATGGTCCAGCGATTGCATCACACGGTGAGTAGAAACAGAAAGTGACACATTGGAAAAGCGAGTTTAGCACTTCCTCTGTTAAACCTCTGTTACAATCACCCACTGCAATTGTGATTTTTTACTTTACACTTTACACAACCGCCATTGATGCGCCGTCAATGAGTGGAAACCTTTTTTGTAAGCTATTGGCGACGATCATTTCAGTGTCACAGCCCTATACAACACTGATTCAAGGTCTTCTTCTTTCTGGTTGTCAAAACTCAAGAAACATTTTATACTCAAAGAATTTCTGGTTCCGATTTGGACGATGTCTAGTTATTTAATTTCATTTACGGTTACACTATTAGACTATATTATTGCACTTGCGATTAATTAAATCCGTTATTATGTAAGAAAAACGTTTTTAATCTCACTTGGTTGGGATTTGCTTTCAAAACGTGATTCGAAATAGTTGCGGTATTTGTAAACAACATTTGTAAACATGACATTGACAGCTAGAAAAAATAATCTTGATCCGAACAGCTGTTCGTTATTTCATAGACGATTATGTGATAAAAATTGAACGAAAACTTGACAAAAATCGCACAAAACTGCATTTTTGAACGTCCGTAATTTTATTTACAAAGTAGTGAGGCTATATTTAAATCACTAAAAACACTCTCGCCAATCCAGTGAATACATTAAAATGACTTGGATCTTGATATGTACTCGGGTTTTCACGGAGAAGATTGCGTAAAATGCCATCTTGAGTGTTACAGACAAAGGGACAGACAGACAGACAGAAATTGAGATAAGACTCGTTTCTGCTTCTTTAATGTATAAAACGTAAAAATAACCTAAAAGTATATAATTCGGAGCAATGTACAGACAAAACTCTAATTTTATTTATATAGATAGTTAACCAAATTTTCTTAAAACGTGTCCTCTCCCATTGCAAATGCAAAGCACGAGTATAACTGCAATAATCATGTTATACTTATACGCCACCCCGTACGAAGGACCGGTACTCTGCTAGTATATATATACATATAATAAAATTTTAACGAATGGTGTTTTTGGCCTCTAAAGACATCAAAATGAAAAAGTAAATCGGTCCCATGCCTAGGTCTTACCGTGCCACCTACGGTAATAGCTACTTCCCTATAAGGAAATTTGCTAAAAACTGTTGTAGTAGCTGCCTTTAGGTTTATCTATGTCTGGTACACCTCGTTTAAAAGTGTAAGTCTTGACTTAAAACTAAGGCTATTCATTAAACGTAAAAGAAATACAAAATTATGTAAATAAAACAGTTTATTGATTCCACTAATGATTACAATTTATGTGTTTAAGTCAGAAGTTTGCAGCCTCTTAAGGATCCTGTTATTAGTTGTTTTGAACAACATCCTGCAACTGTCACGTGTGTGGAATTCTCTCCCAACCATGACAATGTATTTGCTACTGTGGCGACAGATCAAGCCATTCGCATCTGGTGTCTCTTACAGGTTTGTGTTTGTAGCCTTATTGTAGTTATGATCAGGTTATGTGGTTCTGAATATAATTTCATTGTGCTTTTCCTGAAGAACCAGTTAGCCTGCAGTACATATGTGAGGCAAGGCTTTTATGGCTTACCGGTACCGTATTGAATTTAGCTTTATGAAGGTAAATCTTTTTTTCTAAATCTGTAAAATCAATCGTGTTATCCATTTCTAACAACTTAGTTTGTCCACTTGACACTGGCTTTCACGCTTACTATTAAAAGATATCTACAAAAGCCATCCAATAAATAATGTTTGTGTAATGTACGATAGTGATTGTGATCCATAACTTGTAGTATGAGAGTATGCTGGTTATGTTCCAGAGATGTTGCCAACGAGTGATATGGTGTGGTGCAATGGTGGGGTTGAGCTGGAGCCCGGTGCAAGCCCATGTGTTAGCTGCTTGGGGTCACTCAAACAATGTGAAACTTTACAACTCCAACACTGGAGATGACCTCATATCTTTAGCTCCTGATGGACGGAAAGATAAAGCTCAAATATCCTGTGTCAGGTTCAATTGTAAAAGGTGAGTTTTTATGGTCTTGCTTGTTGCTGCACAGTGGTATAAGTATAAGTAGGTCACTGTAAAGTAAACTTCTGTAGGTCTTTCAATTATTTGTGCTAATTACAGGAAAAAAATACAAGATGAGTTTCTACTTCATAGAAACTCGTATGGACACTGATGATTGTTTGTTCTTTTGAAAGTCACCTATTAGGAAACTGAGGACTGTATTAACACCGAATTACAGCCGCATTTAAGAACAGAACCCGTCAAATAAAATTATATCAAGATACTTCCTTCCTTGGTGAACACCGACATAGCACTAAACAATTATAATATTTTCCAAGTATGTTAATGAAATAGTTAATAATTTGAATGTTCACAAGCCAACAATAAAAATCTGCTGGTTTTGTAAACAAAGTTTAACACCCAGCTTATCAGATGTCAGCTGATTAAAAGATAGCAAAGAAAATAACAGACACTGTATTACATTTGGTTCAATGTTTTGATTCCCAAAACTCTGACCTTGACTTTTAATACAGCAATAACCTTAATGGTTACATTTTTTTAAAGGGCATGAAATGAGAAAGTTAATTACGTAAATTGACAAAACATTACATTAGTGTTAATAGTCGTAACACCACTTTGAAGTTGTAAAGAAGTAATTTACAAACTTTTGTACGTTATGTGAGACATACAACGGTGGAAATATAGCTGTATGTTAAAGGTGTTGCAATCGTTTTGTAGGAAATTTATAGAGGTGTGCGGATAGTGAAATTTCATTTCGGATCGGATAGTTGAGGCTCGGTTCAGATCGGATCGGATATTGGGAGGTTCGGATTCGGATATTGGGAGGTTCGGATTCGGATATTTTCGGATTCGGATAGTTTGGCGCGGTTAATAATAAGCTGCATGTGTATTTTTAACGTATAAAACAATGTAAAGCTGTGTAAATAAACTTAAATTACAATTTTGAATTATAGAATTTAAAATTAGCCAAGTCCACAGTTTTCCCTCTCTTGAAAATCACAATTCACAACATTTATTTTCAAAAGTTGGTTGCTTGAATTAAGTACACTAGCAGCCGAAATCTTCACACAACACCTTAGCTCAGCAGGACTGATGTCAAACGTTAGGGCTTGTTTTCTTAAGGTTAGCCTATGTTTTTTATGTTGTTTCCTGGTTCTCATAAGACAAGAAGTTCGATCTCAAGTTTATTTTCACATTGTATTTCCTTACGTTTTTGGAACGGATTATTGGCCTTAAAAGTGGCATTTTGCGGGTTTGCCAAGTTTAGAAAACATCACTAATGCACTAAGCTGGGCTCTAGCTCACGATTTGATGTTGGGCAATTAGGCTTTATAACTCTGTAAAAGGTGTGTATCCCTGAATTTATAAATTTCATTCTACACTTATTCACTGCCAAACATAATTCAGTATAACCTTGATGAACCGAGAATTACACTATAGCCTACATAACTCATTACCCCAAGTAAAATACCAAGATAATTTTTATAATTGTATTTGAATCGTATAGGCCTAATCTTAATTTGTTAAAAATGGATTGTATGTTCAACAATTGCAGTCCATTATTGTTATGCAGTATGGTCCCAAATTATTGTTTTTGATTTTGAAACATCGCAGTTCATTTGACAAAATTAATTGAAGCAGCCCAATGTCAAGTCACGCTTGTGCAATACATTGTTTACAAGCTTTCTCCAGACCACTGGGGAGGGGAGGGTCTAATAAGCAGTCTATTGTTCACCCTCAAGAAGGTTCGACCCTCATTAGTGCCGCTCGGCTGCACTCAGTGGGGAACCCAATACCACAAATCAATCTTTTAAATGAATAAAAATATTTGGTAATAATTGTTTTATTAATATTCACCTTGAAATTTCAATAAATTTGGTGTAAAATTTGACAAAAATCGGCCATTTTGACCGATTATTAATACAGTACCAAATACCAATAAAGTACATTCATTGGTAATTAAATAATAGGTAAAAATTAACCAATTTTCGTCCAGTTTTACCCCCTGCTGTGCGCTATGTCACAAAAGCTGATAACGACATGGGTGATTAGTAACCATGGCAACTTGTTGAATGTGTGATGAAGGGAAACCCAAGAAATAGAAGAACAAAGAGAAAGAATAATGACGTTGTTATCTTTATACCATTTTTACAATTTCTGTTATTGTTATCTTTATGTAAGATTTTATGATTTTGTTTTATAGGTTTATAAGATAATTCTTTTTAACTACGGGAATATCAATTTATAATTTATCAACGTGCTTTTCTTCTGAAACAGCAATACCGGATGCATATAATAAAGGTCAATGACCTAAAATATCACGATTGTGCAATATTGTATTTTGATGTTGAAATTAAAATCAGACAAAAGTTTGTATATCCATGGTCCCAATAGTTTAATCATGTAATATGTACACAATCAATGCTAAATAATCGTGGTTAGTTCTAACTTTATTTTTTATTATTCAAAGTTTCTACACAATAAGACAATCCAAAGTCAAACCGGGCAATGAATACCCAAAAAACAACGTATCTTGTCCTGTGATTGGAATACCACTCGCCGGCCAGTCCTGGTTTAGGGAAGTAGTGCAAGTCTATATATAGCTTCAAGGTAGCATCATACGGCTTCTTTGCCGTTTGCTGTTAGGTCGTTGGAAACGTATTGCTGTAATTTTGTTCTGGGAAACTAATGATGGTTATGGAGATTTAGTTTTCTGTCCAAAACGTCAAAATATATTGTCTATCCGAATATGTCGGATATATAACGGATAGTGTCGGATATCGAATTTGGGCTCGGTTCGGATACGGATATCCGAATCAAACCGAATCTGACCCGATTTTTCGGATATCCGCACACCTCTAAAATTTAACGCTCTTTTCATTGGTATAAGTTATTATGCTGTATGTGTATTGGCTTACTTTCTATGCTCGTTTTAGTGAAGCTACTACAGGTAATTTTAAAAATTCACATAATCGGCCATTACAGCCTAACGGGTGGGGTTGGAAAATTTTGGTTTGACATTTTTTGTTCCTTTTAGTGAGTAGAATAACTGGTAAAAATTAACACACTTAGTAGAAACTCATCCTGTATGTAATGGGTCAGAATTATAGAGGGGTTAATATTTTATATTTATTATTATTTATTTATCGGTTGGCCTATTTCTTACCTGGTTGGTGATAGTGGTAAACCTATATTGGTAAGGGAAATAGCTGTAGTAGGCCGTCTGAGGCCTAGCCTAGGGTTGATGTAGGGATAACCTCACTTTTGGCAAAATCACTAAAGTCACTGTTTTTGAAGTACAGTAGAGTTAACCGAAACCCGGGTTAATCGAAACGGTTCCATAAATTAATACAAGGCTAAAATATAAGTAATACGTAATGTAAAATGCATTAGTAACTTCAGTTGTTTAGCTTAAAGTATGTTATAACTAGAGATGGGCCGATACCAAAAATTGTCGATACCGATACCACCAAAGTACCCTCGATACCTATCGATACCGATACTTCCGATACCTATCTTTTTTGCACAGTTTCTTCCACTAATAATATTATAAACTGTTATACCATAAAAAAACACAATATGTATGTGTATCAAACTTATATTTTGGTGTTGAAGGTTTATTATTAATTGCAAAAAACAATTGCAAAAATATGGAACTACTATATTTTTGCATAAGTGTTTATGAAGTGTTAAGTTAAGTGTTAAGTGTTAATTTTAAAATAGGCCTAGGCCTACTGTAAATGTTTGAATTTAACTAAAGCATGAGATCTAATAAAGTTTCCTCTAATTTATAAATAGGCTTATATAAGTATTTATCTTGTCATTTGTCAGTTTTTGTATTTATTAGAAATTGCATCAATTGTCTTAGTTAACTCATTAACCTATAAATTTAAAAAAAATTACGTACATCTTGGCCTACAAATACTCTGTAAGTTTTTTCCCTAAGAGAGTAAAAACTAACTTCCTATATAATGACAGTTGCTCACTAGTTGTATGAAAAACAGTTATATAGGCCTATCTTCAAAATTTGTTTAACTATGAAAAAGTCACCAAGTCCTGCTGCTGAAAACACATTCATAAATGAGGATAATTTTGAAATACAGAATAACTAATCAAACAACCTTTTTATTTTTAACAATTTTATTTTTTAACTTTTCTTCCTTGACAACAGTTTTTCACTTATTTTTAATAAAGAAAGATTATCACTTAAAATTTCTCGAAAGAAATCTATGTGTGAGCTATGAAGAGCAGACAAGAGACATACGTCACTGCCACAAAAACTATTCTCTACTGTGGTGAATGAATGAACTGAGTGTTGATTAGCGTGAAGCCCCGCCCACCATCTAACGGGACATGGGGTAGGAAAAGAGAAAGTTTGCTCTAAAGCCTGGTTCACATGCCCTCCCTCACCCTCGGCATCAGTCGCTTGCAGATTTCCATTAGGCTACACAAAAGTTTCTGAGTGTTAATTATTTTAAAACACTGTAAATGTTTGAATTTGACTATGATGAGATCTAATAAAGTTTCCTCTAATTTATAAATACACTTATAAGTATTAATCTAAGTCATTTGACAGTTTTTGTATTTATTTTTAAAAGCAATAATTGGAGTTATAATTTAAAAAAAATTACATACATCTTGGCCTATAAATACTTTTTGTAAGGGGAGTCTTTTCTCTAGTGAGTAAAAACGATCGTGGTCAAGGAATGACTGTGCTAAAACAGCACATTGGCAATTTTTACAAAAGTATTTTGACTGAAACCTGGTATTTTTTAAAGACATTGCAGAATAAGTCGACGTCTGTGGAGAAAAGTATGGCAATAGATAGGTTTTACTTTTAGCCTACAATAAAGATTATGTTTTGGGACTAGAATCTCCAAAAGAGTGCTTTTATAAAACATGCCATAGTTTTATTTAATAACAAAAGTGTTTGGCTATGTTCCCGATGATACCAAGAGTATAGGTTCGGCAGAATGGATTCACTGTGAACCGGC